GAGAACGGGAAGAATATAATTACGTAAATTGTAAACGTGCCTCTCTCTCTCTCTCTCTCTCTTGAAATCAAATCGATTTTACATTAGTCAAAGATATTGCTCTTGAAACTTGAGTAAAAATATTTGTTTAACCTTTCAATATTTTATTGAATATTGAAACACTTATTTCATGGCAAATCATGAATAGAACATTGTGAAATATTTTCTCACTGCAACGCTTTTTCAGTCGGACATTTACGTCTTTAATAATTTGTTAATGTTCCATTTGTTTTGTTCCATTTTGAAATCTCCTGTCTATTCTGAATCGCATTATAATGGCTCAGGGATTATAGTTTATCTTTGAAACAAGGCAAAACCACCAGTCGACTGTAGAACACGAGGAAACGACGTCTCAAGCGTCTGTCGTCGACACTTTTAGTCGCGGAAACTCCTACGAGCCATCGCGATTTCCTCTGCAGAAGCGGCTGACTAATTCGCGTCTGTACCACTTCGTCTCGCTATCGATCCTCGCGCCAATCTCGGTCTCGTTCAACTCGGCCGGAACTTACGAGAATTCGACGTAGTAGTTATTTGAATGCCATCTATCATTTAAGAAATAATTAGTGTCGTTATTTATAATCAATTAAGATAAAATACTGAAAACTTATTACATGTGATTTTATGTTATTACATTAAATTCATGTGATTTTAGCAACACATGATATAACAAGATACTGCAATTAAATAATATTACAATAATGTTGTAGCTATGATTCATTTATATTAATGTTATTTCATTATTGTAAAACTATTAATTAGCTAATGTTCGAAAGATTCGATAGTGATACGTTTTACACGAATTTTCGGGTTTTGTCTTAGAGTATATAATTTTTTGCAATTTTTTTTTATATATTAACTTTGAAAATCAATGTTGTATTTTTTTATCTTTTTATGAAATTTTGAAATTGAAGGAAAGTTTGAAAAGAGCCCCTCTTATTAATACATTGAAGAGAGAGAGAGAGAGAGAGAGAGAGAGAGAGAGAGAGAGAGAGAGAGAGAGAGAGAGAGAGAGAGTAGTAGTAGTAGTAGTA